TATCTATCTCTTTCACACACTAAAAAAAAAAAACAATACCAAAAACGTAGCTGACCGGAGGTGCGGGCACCTGTCAGTTCCCAGCTACCTTTGTAGCTGAGCGCAGGAGAATGGCTTAAACCGGGAGGCGAGCTTGCAGGTGAGCCGAGATCGGCAGCTCGCACTCCCAGCCAGGCGACAGAGCAAGACTCCGTTCTCCAAAAACTAAAAAAAAAAAAAAGAATTAGGCAGCTGGACTCAGTTTAGATGATCCCAATTTTGTTGGCAACATCCAAAGTGTCGTAATCAGGAGCCAGTCGAACATATGCCTTTTTCTCTCCATCAGGCCGAATCAGGGTGTTGACCTTGGCCACATCAATGTCATAGAGCTTCTTAACAGCCTGTTTAATCTGGTGCTTGTTGGCTTTAACATCTACAATGAACACAAGTGGGTTGTTGTCTTCTGTCTTCTTCATGGCAGACTCAGTGGTGAGAGGAAACTTGATGATAGCATAGTGGTCAAGCTTGTTTCTCCTGGGGGCGCTCTTCCAAGGATATTTGGGCTGCCTCCGGAGTCGCAGTGTCTTGGGCCCCCGGAAGGTGGGTGACGTGCGGATCTTCTTTTTTTTGTGGCTGTGGACACCTTTCAACACTGCCTTCTTGGCCTTTAAAGCCTTCGCTTTGGCTTCGGCTTTAGGAGGGGCAGGAGCTTCCTTCTTCGCTTTCGGCGCCGTCTTGTGAAAAGCTTTTGTATTTTTTAGTAGAGACGGGTTTCACCTGGTTAGCCAGGATGGTCTTGATCTCCTGACCTCGTGATCCGCCCGTCTTGGCCTCCCAAAGTGCTGGGATTACAGGCTTGAGCCACCGCGCCCGGCCTCCTATCACTTCTTAAATTCAGACATGACAGAAACAAGTTGTTTGGACAAACCCCTGAAAAGTCTAAAATTGACACATACGTCAGTCTTCTCCGTCCCTTCCCAGGGAGAAGCCAGGAGCTGCAACTTTTCTCCTGATCATGTCGTGCTAAACCAGGGAAGGGAGTATGGAAAGCAACTGCCACATATTTTCCAGTTGGCTTCCATGAGGCTGTTTCTGTGCTCACCTGGGGTTCAGAAGCCTCTTTTAGCTTCTAGATTTGTTGCAAAGGAATTGGTCCCTGTAATGCTGTTGAATTGGTGTCTCCGTGGGTGCAGAGGGGCTGGGGTTTCCTAGTCTGTAATCTGCTGACATACAAATCTCTTTGGGTTTTTTTTTTTTTTTTTTGGTTCGTTTGTTTTTGTTTTTTGTTTTTTAGACAGGGTTTCACTCTGTCACTCAGGCTGGAGCGCAGTGCTGGAATTTCAGCTCACTGCAACCTCTGTCCACCAGGCTCAAGCAATCTTCCCACCTCAGCCTCCTGAGTAGCTGGAATTACAGACATGCGCCACCATGCCCGGCTAATTTTTGTGGTTTTTGGTAGAGAGGGCGTTTCACCATGTTGGCCAGGCTGATCTGGAACTCCTGACCTCAAATGATCTGCCCACCTTGGCCTCCCAAAGTTCTGGGATTACAATTGTGAGCCATTACACCCTGCCAAAATCTCATTGTGATTTTAATTTGCATTTCTCCAATGTCTAATGATGTTGAACAGCTTTTCATGTGCTTGTTTGCCATCAATACGTATGTATATATGTGTGTGTATATATGTACGTATATGTGTGTGTCATGTCTTTTATTTTAATTGGATTGTTTGCTATTTTACTGTTGAGTTTTGAGAGTTCTTTATATATTCTACATACTAGTCCTTTGCTGGATATGTGATTTGCAAATATTTTCTCCAGTGTGTGGCTTTCTTTTCTTCCTTTTAACTGGGCACACTCATGCATCACTTAATGATGGGGATATGTTCTGAGAGATGCATTGTTGGGTGATTTCCTCATTGTGCAAACATCAGAGAGTATACTTACACAAATCTAGATGACATAGTCTATGACACTCCTGGGCTACACGGTATAGCCTACTGTTCCTAGAATACAACACTGTATAGCATGTTAGTGTACTAAATAGTGTAGGCAGTTGTAACACAGTGAAATTTGTGTATCTAAACATGTCTAAACACAGAAAAGGAACAGAAAAAATATGGTATTATAATCTTATGGCACCACTATAGTATATGTAGTCTATCATTGACTGAAATGTCTTTGTGTGGTACATGGCAGTATTTACAAAGTAAAAATGTAAATATTTTGATGAAGTCTAATTTATCAACATTTCCCTTTTTGAATCTTGCTTCTGGTGGCAAGACTTAAGAACGATTTGCTTATCCCTAGATCATGAAGATTTTTTCTTACATTTTTCTCTAAAACGTTTACACTCTTACATTTTCATTTACGTGCATGATCTATTTTGAGTTGAATTTTGTATGTGATGTAAACTAGGTCACAGGTCATATTTTTTGCTTCGGGGTGTCCAACTACTCTAGTGCCATTTTAAAAGGCTATCTTCCTCCACTGATTTTTCTAATTTTATTTACTATTCATAATTTTTATCTTTCTATGAACATGACTTATAAAAATCCTATTTTAAAGTCTTCAAAAAGTGTTTTTTTTTAAGCTTAAGCATAGTGAATTCCCATTTTTATTGTTGATAAGTTAAACTAGTACCAGTATCAAACAGTTGTATAGCACTTAAGACGCACCAGGCACTCCTCCCAATGCTTTACATGTATAAATTCATGTAATCCTCACAATTCTGTGCCGGAATATCATACTATCACACTACAATAATACTATAATATTATACCAGTGTATTTTATTCTATGAGTAGTAAAAAGTTATTGGAAAATTTTTAGAAGAGTAATGTAATAGGTCTGGTACTCATCTTTAAGAATTTTTAACAGACATCTTTAAATATATACAAAAGTAGAGAGGAAAATATAATAAACCCTCATTTATGCATGTCAACTTCAACAATGATTACCATTTTGCCCATCTTATTTCTGCTGATTTCTCCCTACACACACATAGTTTTTCTAGAGTACTTAAATTCCAGGTAGTGACTTATTCATTACTACTTCAGTAGGTATCCCTAGAAGATAAAAAGTTTTTTTTAAAAACCTAGCCACAATAGCCTTATCACAAAAGCAAAAAATGACTATTTCTTAAAATCGTACCTTAACAAATCTCCAATTCTGGTTCAAATTGCCCCATTGTCTCAAAAACATCTTTTTCCAGTTGGTTTGTTCAAATCACTGTATAATCACATTACAGTTTATCCATTTGCTTCTTTCCTATGTCATGTATTTGAGGAGTAAACTGAGCATAATACATGTCTTTAAAATTCACTCTGGATAAACAGAATATGGTACCTACATACAATGGAATATTATTCCACTTTCGAAAGGAGGGAAATTCTGACATATGCGATAACAGAGATAGGTCTTGAGGGCATTATGCTAAGTGAAATAGACAAGTCACAAAAAGACAAACATTATATGATTCCTCTTATTCACGTGAGATACCTGGAGTAGTCAAATTCATAGACCAGAAGATAGAATGATGGTTGCCAGGGACTAGGGGAGGAGGAATGGGGAGTTAGTGTTTAGTAAGTATAGAGTCTCAGTTTTGCAACATAAGAGGGTTTTGAAGATTGGTTGCACAATAATGTGAATGTACTTAACACTACTGAACTGCCTAATTAAAAATGGTTTAGATGGTAAATTTTATGTTATATATATATTTTATCACAATTTTTAAAATTTTAAAACATCCCTCTGGCTGGTGTGTAGAGTAGAAGCAGCCTGACCAGCTAGAAGGCTATTGCAGTGCTCTGGGTGAGATGACAGTGGCTTGGATTAGGGTGATAGAGGTGGAGGTGGTTGAGAAGAGATCAGATTTGGGGTCTGTTTTAAAAGTAGAGATAATAGGACCCCCTGGCAGATTGGATATTGAGTGTGAGGGAAAAGGACAAACGACAGCAAACTCCTGGGATTTTGGCCTGCTCAGCTGCATGACTGACTGTGCCACTGAGTGGAATGAGGAAGCTGGGGGAGGAGGCAGCTACCAGGTGGCAGGTTGATTACATTGGACCTCTTCCATCAGGGAGGGAGCAGCGATTTGTTCCCTTTGGAACGGGCACTTTTCCGGATTTGGATTTGGTTTCCTTGGCCGTTGTCATGCTGCTGCCAGCACTCTCTCTGTAGTCGTGCTAGATGCCTTGTAGCCTGTCATAGTCTCCCACACAATATTACTTCTGATGAAGAAGCATTTTGCAGAGACAAAGTAAGCCAAGAGGCTAATGCCCATGGGACTCATTGATCTTGTCATGGTGTCCCATCTCCAAAACCAGGTGGCTCAGGAGAACAGAGGAATGGTCTATTGGCAGCCGGTTCCTGTGCCAGCTGGAGAGATACCTTATAGGGACACTGTGTATTTTCTGGCCAGTGCTGCTGTTTCTCCTGAAGCCAAGATCCACTTGGCTGGGGAATCCAAGCAATGGAAGCAATGGTATATACTGTCACTGACCTACCCCAAACCATTTGTCTCCTTACCCAAGATTCTGTTTGGGAGATTTGGGTACCCAGAGGATAAATACCTTCATTTGGAGACATAGCCTTCCAAAAATGACTTCCTGATTGACTTCATAACTATTGTCATAACTATTGTGAATGGTGCTGCAATAAACACGGGAATGCACATGTTTCTTCAACACACTGATTTCATTTCCTTTGGATAGATAACCAGTAATGGGATTGCTGAATCCCATGGCAGTCCTTTTGTTTGTTTGTTTGTTTGTTTTGTTTTTTTGAGAAGGAGTCTTGCTGTGTTGCCCAGGCTGGAGTGCAGTGGTGTGATCTTGGCTCACTGCAACATCCACCTCCCGGGTTCACGCCATTCTCTTGCCTCAGCCTCCCTAGTAGCTGGGACTACAGGTGCCCGCCACCACGCCCGGCCTAATTTTTTTGTATTTTCAGTACAGACAGGTTTCACCGTGTTAGCCAGGATGGTCTCGATCTCCTGACCTCATGATCCGCCCACCTCGGCCTCCCAAAGTGCTGGGATTACAGATTACAGGCGTGAGCCCCCACGCCCGGCCTTTTTTTTTTTTTTTTTTTTTTTTTGAGATGGAGTCTTGCTCTGTTGCCTAGGCTGGAGTGCAGTGGTGTGATCTCGGCTCACTGCAACCTCTGCTTCCCGGGTTCAAGCCATTCTTCTGCCTCAGCCACCTCAGTAGCTGAGATTACAGGCACGTGCCACCAAACCTGGCTAATTTTTGTCTTTTTAGTACAGACGGGGTCTCACCATGTTGGTCAGGCTGGTCTCGAACTCCTGACCTCATGATTCGCCTGCCTTGGCCTCCCAAAGTGCTGGAATTAGAGGCATGAATCACCGTGCCTGGCCCCCATGGTAGCTTTATTTTTAATTTTTTGAGGAACCTCTATATTGTTTTCCATATGGCTGTACTAATTGACATTCCCACCAATAGTGTATAAGTATTCCCCTTTCTCCACATACATGCTAGCTTTTTTTTTTTTGAGACAGGGTCTCATTCTGTCACCCAGGCTGGAGTGCAGTGGCACAATCACAGCTCACTGCAGCTTTGGCAGCCTAGGCTCAAGCGATCCTCCCATCTCAACCCCTCAAGTAGCTGGAACTACAGGCATATGCCATCACACCTAGTTAATTTTTAAAGTTTTTATAGAGACAAGGTCTTGCTATGTTGCCCAGACTGGTCTTGAACTCCTGGGCTCAAGTGATCCTCCTGCCT